TTCACTTGAATAAGCGAAGTACTGCTTGACAATGGACTCTGGCACCATCATACGAATAACAGTAAGCACTCTAATGACTTCCTTTGTTGACAGTTTTATTGATTTCTGCGCGAAGGGAAGATCCTGGATGACATGGGTGCTCGTTATAAAGTCCAAAAAATGATCAAGTTGAGTTTGGGATACCGCCATTCGTGTCTGGGATGACTGCAGTGATAGTGCTACACCTCTACCCTCGACCAAGATATGCTTCCTTGCTTCACGGAATTGATACCTCGTCAGATTGGGAATCTATTTCTTAAGTGTCTTGAATGAAACCTTGTCTGCCATTATAGACAATATTTGTCTCCTGGGTTGCCAGTTACTCGCATTCCTGTAGCACTCAGCCAACGCCTCCATAAGCATTTCATCTACAGGCTCACGCTCATTACCACTAGGGTTTTCATCGGAAGATTTGGATGCAACAAGTGATTTCCAAAGCTGTCCACTCTGATTTGGTGCTACTTCTTCTAGTACAGCGTCAACTGCTTGATTTGCTTTGCATAAGTGACGACGCCTCGTTCGTTGACTAGCCTCCTCCCATTGCGTCGTCAAAGGAAATCTCACTGGACTTATGTGTCAGGTTTCTAGAAAGGTGTTTAGCATTTCGAGTGGTTTACACTCCCGTTTGACATGTTTATTTGCCTCGTTTGGCGAGTAGATACTTGTTGCTGGAGTCTGTAGTTAAAGGTAGGGGAAGGACGATGGTGTGCTTTCTGCCACTTCACCTACTGTGTCACTTGTTTGATCCTGCAGACGAATTTATGGATTGATTGATTAGACTGTTGACCCACGTTATAAAGACATGTTAATCTTGTAGATTAAGTGCAGATAATAATATGAATCAAGTAATCAATCAAACAAAAAAACAGAATGAATTAATTCAATCCTCTTTTCATATTAATGGAAGCTACAATTCGCTCTGCATATCATATACTTTATATACGCACTTAAGTACCATACAATTCTATGGCTGATGTAGGTTATTGATTAAACTGTCGTCAGTCCATTATTTGGACCTCTCAAAACAAACGGATAGTTTTCTTAGTGTCGATGCCGCCAATCTTTGTGAGTTTCACAAATGGCCAACGGTGCAACTTTCAATTTCTCCGTTGCCTAGCACGTGAACTTAATTCTACTCCAAAGTAAGCGTGCAGATTGATGATTTCATTCACGACTGCTTTAACATGTTTTTTGACCAAAGACACAATCATCTTCCTTTCCAGCTCTTTGTCAAGTGCGCAGTACTTTTAAGGATGTAAATAGAGAATTGCAGTCCTAAAAATGATTAATTCCGATTAGCTCACCCCAGACGGTGAAACTTGTCCTTGTAAACAACTCCCGTTGCCTAGCACGAGACAAAATTCTATCCAAAGTAAGTGTGGTGTTGTTTTGATTTGCAGACCAGCATGATACGCAGCTCTTTTAACATGGCTTTGAGGAAACAGCGTCATTTCTATCTATTTGCAAAGCGTGCCAGATTTTTCATGGTGACAATAAAAAGCAGACCTAAAAATTTATTTCCTCCAGTCAGTCTGTCCCTGAAGAAGAGAGTACTACCAGAGCCACACCCAAATTTGTCTCCCTCATCGATCGACATAGACATAGACATTGCAGTAGTCTTTACGAACAAGCGGGCATGTTGGTTAATTCAGATACAAGATGAGGACCATATGTGCAATGCTTTTGGCTCTCTTTATCTGCTTGTTAGTTCTCCGTTATGTTATATAACATGTTATGTTATGTTATATAGCATGTTATGTTATATAAACATGTTATGTTATTATTTCTGTAACATGTTATATTATATAACATGTTCTGTTTATCTTATGTTATATAACATGTTATTTTATGTTTATGTTATGTTGTTATGTTATGTTTATGTTATGTTATATAACATGTTATGTTTACGTTATGTTTTATAACATGTTATGTTGTCATGTTTTGTAACATGTTGTTATGTTATATAACATGTTATATTTATGTTATGTTACATAACATGTTATGTTTATGTTATGTTTTATAACATGTTATGTTATGTTATATAACATGTTATGTTTATGATGCGAAGTACATGAAATAATTCATTTTTGAACTGCGGTTGTACATGAAAGTGAAGAATGATCATCGCAGTAAATTTTAATTGCTTAAATTGGAAAATTTGCTTAAATTGAAAAATTTACTGCGATGATCATTCTTCACTTTCATCTACAACCCCAGGTCAAAAATGAATTATTTCATATACTTCACATCATTTCACTCCTCACTGGAGATATGAACTCAATAAATTGACCTCGCTCCCAATGTGTGGCTTCATCGCTCAGTTGGTAGAGCAACGCACCGGCAACGCGGAGGTCACAAGTTCGAATCCCGTTGAAGCCCTGATTTTTTTTTCAGGCTTCTTCTTTCCAATTGCTTAAATTGGAAAATTTACTGTGATGATCATTCTTCGCTTTCATGTTAT